GACAAGCCCGTGCCCACCAACAAGTTCAAGTTCTGCCGCGACGCAATGGGCATTGCCTAAGTGCAACGGCTGTGCAGCCTGCGTGGGAGTGTTGAGTTGTGACAATGCCACGTGTCCAGTCTACACATCCGCCGCACAGATACCCTCATTCCCGCCTTTCCCGCCCCAGACACCGCACAATTGTGTTTCCCCACCCCATTCCCAGTTGATCGACACTTGTGCCACTCCCTTTCGTGCACCTGACCCAGCAGTTATGCTCACCGATACCATGATGCTTTTGTGCCGCATCGTACCCGCATCGTATCAGGAATATCCCAAGTATATGCCGGGAATATGCTCCTCCACCCCAGATCTATTTATCGCCGCCTCTACTGCGAATTTACTACTCTTGCTGCCTTTGTAAATACCTCCCGTCAACAGAAAATCCCTCCTGTGTTTCACAGATGTGCCAGATATATACAACGGCTGGGCATATATACATAAAAATAAAACATAATAAATTATATATATATATAACTTATAAGTATATATACTTATATATACTTATATATACTTATATATACTTATATATACTTATATACTTATATATATATATATATATATATATATATAAGTATATATATATATATATATAAGTGTATATATATAAGTGTATATATAGTATATATATACTATATATATATATATACATATATATATATATATACTTATATATATATATATATATATATATATATATATATATATATATATATATATATAAATAACCCCGGTTCTGACCAACTTGATTACTGGTTTTGGGGGCTTCAGATGCCAAGTCAAGTGGGGGGGCCTGAGGAATCCGAATAGGCTCCCTAAATTGCCCCCAGGAGCCTCCCATGTCAGAAAGTGACGGCGGCGGCGCCACCGCCACCGCACACAGCTTCGCCTCCTGCCATGCCCCAGCCATGTCTCTCCATATCCTCCCACCTGCTTGGATTGGCAGTATACCCACCTGGGACCGCCAGAATCAAAGTCAGGACCTTGGGCAGGTTGAGTCTGAGAGGCAGTGTAACCCCATGCCTAGCGCGGTGGGACTGCCCCAGGCGAGGCTGCGACACCCCTGGCGCACGCACACAGGCTGTACTGAACGATGTGCCGTCGGTGACAAGCGGGTCACGGTAGGCGGCGGCGGCTACACCAAAAGGGGTCAATGGTACAATATCTCGAGTGATAAAGCCTGCGATCCACCCGGCAGCTAGCAACATCACTTGTCTGTGCCATCGCCCTCCCCTTCAGCCTGCTCCCCCTTAAACTGTCGCGCGTCGTCAAACGGCGCCCATCGCGAGGCTGGGTAGATGTGCTTGTTCTTATTGTACCAGTGGCGGTCGACAACCTTGCCTGAGGCAAGCGGGCAATGGCACCATGCGGTAGGGCAGTCAATCAACGTCATTTCGGCGGCTTATGTTCCAAACACGCATATGTGGAGCAAGGGACACATTGGGTTTGACTAGCCAGCTGCCAGCCATGCAACGCTGCGCCGGTGTCCCTTATCGCCATGCAACAACAACCCACACACACCTGCGTGCGAGTCCTGGCTCTTCACACGCGGGTCAAACGAGGCCACAGCATGTTCGTGCAGGTCGAACTGGAACAGCGGCCCACTCTTGCCCATGGCCTTGTTGACGATTAGGTCGTAAAAGGTGACAGTGTGGGGCAGGATGATGTCCTCTTTGACATACATCAGGTTGCCCACGCTCGTAGTCCTGCGAGCAGCAACCATGAAAGGCGAGGACAATCCAGTTGGCGAGCATCCAAAAGCCAGGCCTGGAAGCACTGAAAGTACAGGCCCAAGGTACTGGTGCCTTGGGATTCCGCGGCTCAGCGACGAATACAATACCGACAAACCAGCCCACCGGATCTCCCTGAACTGCGGCGTGAGCTGTTCCACCACAGCCTTGAGGAACTGGCCCACGTTATCGCCCTTGCGAACTGTCACAGCACGCCGATGGCCAGTGCCGTTGTAGTAGCTGTAGATGATCTCTAGCGGCTCCGCTTTGATGGCTGCCTGCCGCAGTGCATACTCGGCCTGCTAGATGGTAGCAGAAGCAGCAGAGAGACACTGGCGATCACACACAGCAACGCGGCACAGCTCCAAGCCCGCAGCTCTCACGCAACCTGCCACCCCACTCCCCACCGTTCCAACCCACCAACCTTGAGCTTCTCGCGCAACTCCTGCTCCTCCCGCTCCCGGTCCTTGTCCGGCAGGAAGTCGGTGCGCACGGTGGGATCCTTGCCCAGCTTGGCATACAGCAGCCGTGGGCCTGCACCGCTGCCGCTGGCGCCATTGCCACCCTCGGCATCCTCGGCACTGCCGCCGTTGCTAGGTGGCTGCAGGTGCGCAGCAAAATGGAGAGGTTGCCCTACCAATGCATAGCCTCCCCGAAGCAGCACAGGAACATGCCCCATTGGTGCGACAGCGCAAGGAAGGCACCATACCACCCACCTGCGCGCACTGTTGCCGCTGGGTTGCCGCCTCAGCTTGCCCCTCGTCCTCATTCTCTTCAAGGAAGTCATCAAATGACAGCTTGTGTTTCTGCTCCGTCTTGGCCTTCTTGGCTCGCTGGCGCTCCTTCTCCTGCACAGCGGGAAGGCGAGGGCCGCTTATAAACACGGCAAGACGCTCAACCAGACCCTGCCTCACGCCGTCAGCTGGTTCACCCGCATGTGAAAAGTAGCCGCACTACTTGCCCCCCGACAAAAGCAGCACATCCACTCATTCCCAGCCCTCCTCCTCTGCCTGGGTGGGCAAGCCCACCCACCCGCAGCGCCTCCTCCTCTGCCTCATGCCGCTGCCGCTTCTCCTCCTCCTTGAGTCGCTCCTCGATGGTCAGCCGCTTCTCCACAAACTGCTCCCGCGTCACCAAGCCCACCGTCTCGTTCTTGAATGCGTGCTCGATGGCCTGCAACAAGCAAACACCGTCAGGATCAACGCGTTGGCATCTTGCCCAACGTGGGAGGCCACACCCGCTGCCCATGCTAACCGGCTGGATCCAGCCACTGTGTCGCAGCCAACAACTGAAATGCTGCTGCTCCGCCACAGGTGTTCAGCTCCCACACCCACCACTGCCCCATGCCCCATGAGAGCCACACTGGGTGAGTCGTGTGCACCTCTGAGCTGGCGGTGCCAAACTGCCGAAGCCCATGCCCCTGCTGCGCCTTCTTCTTGGCCTCCTCATACTGCTTGTGTTGCTCGTCCCGCTCCTTGAGTTGCCGCTCTATGCGGCGCTTGTCCTCCGTGGTGCCTGCAGGCAACCGGGTGGAGCACGGCCACTGAGCAAGGACAGCCCAGGCTTTACAGAGTGCAAGCCCGCTTTGCACCAGGTAAAATGCTGTACTGAGCTACCCACCAACATATCCGCCTCCGTACGACATGGTTCAGGCAAGGCCGGCGGCGGTGGCGACGGTGAATGCCTCCTGTTGCAACAAGAGTGTGACGAAGCAGGCGGTGCACAGGCAGTGCGTTTGCAGCGTCCTGTATGGTTGCAAGGGGAAGCCTGGAGCGTGAGCGGGGATCGGTGGCGGCGACTGGATGCCTGAGAGAGGGTTGCAGACCGGGGCCGTGATCCGCGGCAGAATGCGCACTAGTGCGTGGGGGTGTGGGTGTGGGAGATGGACACGCGCCGTGTGCGACGTACTGTAGTGCTGTCGGCCGATGTGTTTCTGTGTTGTACGCATTTGAGAGCGCCGTCTCTATTCATCAAGTCTGCTGAATCACACGATAGCTTGGGCCTGTCGCCGGATGCAAGCCTGTGCTCGTTTGACACCATCGGCTGCAGCTAGCGCCAGGCCTCTCTGTTCCTTCGTCCAGCTGCCTGCCAGCATTTGAGCCTGCCAGCACACGCCAGCTCCCGCGAGTTGCAAACCATGGCGACGCCACGGGAGGCGGGTAGCGGCGCCGCCACTGTCTCTCTGCTCTTCACACCTACCAGCAAAGCAGCTGATGGCCAGAAGGGGCCCACCCCCGGCGACTTCAGGTCTTTCTCGGGCCTGGGCCGCACGCCCGCCAGTGCTGGACGTGCGTTTGGCGGTGGTAGCACGGTGGCTGCGGGTCCCACGCCGTCCTCGCGCCGGCGCAGCCTCACACCCGCTAGCAGCCGGCAGATGGACACGCCACCTCCACCGCCCATGGACAGCCTGCTGGACTCGCCGGGGGGACTGGGACTCAGCTCCGCGGCGTGGCCGCTAGATCAGGATGGCGGTGAGTGACAAACAAGGAATGGAAAGCATTTCGCCCATGCGACTGTTGCTGCAGTTGTGCACTGGATTGCCCTGTTTGAATGGAAACAGGCAACATGTCGATGTTGTTTTGCCATGCACAATCAGGCTGCAGAGACAGGGCAGCAGCCACATCCAATCCTGCGCATCCCCAACCCACTTGCTGTTCCCCATCCCCCATTGTGCAGTGGAGGAGATGCAGGTGTCCACCTCGCCCTATGCCGTGGCTGCCCGGGCAGCTGGCATGCCCGCGGCGGCTGTTGGGCAAGAGCTGGCACGTGCAGCACATGCTTTTGAAGCTCTGGATGAGACTTGGGTCACTGTGTTTGGCTTCTGCCAGGCCGACCTGCCGCTGGTCATCCGTGAGTTCAGCAAGGCGGGCGACATCCAGCAGGCAAGTCGTTGCCTGGGAGGGGTCGGCTACACACGGGCGGGCATTGTCGAACAGCGGCTTGGGCCGGCTGGCATGCACTCGCAGGTACAGTGTTCTTCCTTCTGCGTGACTAAGTTGGTCTTCTGCTTTGGGTTGCAGTTTGGCACGTTTGGCGAGGGCGCTGCAGTCAACTGGATCCACATTGAGTACCGGGTGGGTGTGCACTTGTTTGGAGTGGGGTCCTTTCAGCGTGCAGGCCCTGAATTGATGAGTCTATGCCTCGACATACCTGTCCGTCTGGCTGCGCACCCCTTTGCCTGCCCTGCAGAATAAGCATGCCATGCAGCGCGCCCTCCTGCGCAATGGCGATCAGCTGAGTGCAACTTGCATGGTGGGAGTAAAGCCGCTGGATGCTGAGCACCGGGCGGTGGTGGAGAAGCATGGTGGTAGCAGCTCTGGCCCGAGCTTTGCCATGGCGTTCCCAAAGCCGCAGCAGCAGCGACCGTACACACTGGGGCCGGCAGCAGGAATGAGTGCAGTGGTCCCATTGGCCACCAAGGGGCTGACGCAGCGGGTCAAAGAGTTCGTGCTGGGCTGCTAAGACAGTTGCGCACCCTGCATGCATCGAGGCATTTTTTTCACCACCACTCCGTAGAAAGCCAGACAGTTTGCCATGCATTCGATAGACAAATGCAATGTAGGCAGTCCCTGGTGCAGTCGCATGCTCGTCACTGTAACTGCTATAACCTGCCGTCCATCTATGCTGCTTTACTGGAGTACAGCGGCTGTCGTTATCCGCCCCAGCGGGCCAAAGCCCACACTGTGCGGACCCTTTTCCTTTCTGCCTCGTTGTTTTCCCACCCTGCAGCCCGGAGTGGTGCCGACGCAGGGGCCGTTTGGCAGCGGTCCGCTCTTTGTCGCCGATTGCAGCGGCTCATTTGCCCTAGCCCTGTGGCGGCGCAGTGTGCACGGCCAGCGGCCTGATGCATTCTTGCAGTTTCCTGCTTGCTACTTCGCATGCATGCATGCACGCGGCGCTGTTGTTTAGGCAACCCGCCATGTGTGAAACATGTGGCGGGTGGCGCCAGAGACCGGCCCACCGTCCCTTACCGACAGCAGCAGCAGCAGAACACTGATGGTTGGCTCGGGAGGTCTCCATGTGTACATGCACTGTCTCAGCGCCTCATCGCTTCCACCACCAGTACAAAAGGCCCACCAGCAGCAGCGTAACAAGCATGCCGCCATACACCAGCAGCTTGTCCAGGCGCTGCCGGCGCTCCGCCAAGCGTAGCACACTGTCTGACAGTCCCACAGCGTTGAGCACGTCCAGCACCTTTCGGTGTGTGGCCTTAAGCCGCTCCCGCTGCCCCGCCATGCTGCCTACGATGCCCACCCCCGTCTCATACGCCTCCTCCAGCACCCGCTTGGAGTTGTGCACATGCCGCGCTGCCCGCGCTTCTGCATCCACATCCACCACAGGGCTGCCCGCCCCTATGCGTCGCTCCAGCAGCTCCCGCCGCTGCTGCTCCTCAACCTGTCGACGCTGCTGGCGATGCGAGAAGCGGTCCAGCCCCATGCGCAGCGCATCCGTCTCCTCTGCCACCTGGTGGCAACGAGCCGAGGAGGGGCGCCCAGTGCAGAGTGGGCAACATCAATGAAATGGGCCAACTGGATAGCTGTGCTGCAATGGTGGTCATGTGCCACCCACAGTACGATGCATCCAATGGCATGGGGGATGCCGTACACGATCGAGTGATGGCAGCACTGCTGCAGAAGGGGCCCACCTGCTCCACCTTGCGTTTCCAGATGTCACGCTTGGCTGCTGGCTCACGCAGGGATTGCATGCGCCATACTGCATCCAGCTCTCCACTCAAGCGCTGCAGGTGGTATAATGCATTGCTCTGCTTTAGTCGCCCATGCCCCGAACCGCAGTCTCGGCAAGCTGAACAAGCCAGCATCTATGCATTGCAACGGCCGTGCATCGCACACCTGGAGTTGCTGTATCTGCTGCTGCAGGTCCGCTGCCAGACCGCTGGGGACTATCGCTCGCGCATTCTGAAGCGGGGAGGCGGGCGGGCAGAAGGGGAGTCGGGTGCTGCTCACCACCCCTTTCGGCGGCCGCTGCTTCCTCACCTGCTCGGCGGTCTCCAACCGCTCCAACCCCGCCCGGATGGTCAAGGTGAGCCTTTTGGCCTGCGTGTGCAAGGTCTGTAGGTCTCCCATACCGCGCACCCGGTGCGCGCTACCAGTGCAGCCTCTTCCTGACCACCGAGGCCCGTCTGGCGGCAGCCGTCGACCGGCTGCAGGGCTGGCGTCCGCCGGCCTGGTACAGGAGCGACAATAACAGGACGTATCGTGCAGAGCAGGGTGCAGCAGATGAGCGGGCGGAGGTAGCTCTTGAACAAGAGGAAGGGTGCGTGAACTGGGGGCCTGCGCTGTGGATGCGTAAGCTCAGGAGGGAATGCAGTATTGATCAGCCGTTTGAAACAAGCGCGGGCGAATGCCAGCTGGGCATTGCCAGCAGGGATGAACAAACATCATCAAACATAAATGTGCGCATGTCCTTCCCGCCTTCCTTGCAGTGGTAGCACCTCCAAGGCGGAAGATCCTCTGGTGGCGGAGCCCTGGCACCGACTGACCCTGGTGGTCCGCGCAAGTGGTGGGAACGGCGCTGCCGGCAAGCCACTGGGCATCGTCGAGGCGTGCGCCGCCGCCAACCCCGCCTGCAACCAGGCGCGTGGTGGCCACTACTACCGCTGTCGCCGCCGGGGTGGCGGAGGCGGTGGCTCACTGCCAGCCCTGCCAGTCCTGCAAGCTCGCATCGCTGCTCTTAGCATTTGCGGGCCCTCGACAATACACCACACGCTTGCTGCTCCTCCTCAGGCCCTGGTCTGCCACCTGCTGGCGCGGAACAGATAGGCAGGATGGCAGCCGTGGATGCGGTGGAGGAGGGCAAGGCCCTGATCTCGGAGCTGTGCAGCAATTTGTATGCCCAGGGCCATGTGAGCGGCACTGGAGGCGGCATCTCGGTCAAAGTAGCGACCACAGTGGGCGATTTCATCGTCATGGCACCCAGTGGGGTCCAGAAGGAGCGCATGCGGGCCGAAGACATGTTTGTGCTGGATGGCGCAGGCGTGGTGGTGCACACGCCCGCAGCACGTCCACCCCCGTACAAGCCGCCCAAGCTGTCGGAGTGCGCCCCGCTCTTCATGGCGGTGAGCTCCTCAGGCTGCGGTTGCGGTGACCAGGGCCCTGGCAGCACCAGCAGCATGATAAGGGTGTGGCTCACAGCACTCAAGAACAACACTGCGCCACCAAGCAGTCCCCGCCATTCCTGAACAGCCCACAGCCACATGGTCTTGTAGCAGCAGTTGGGCGCTGTGCCATCTATGAGCGGCACGGCGGCCACCAGCCTGCCCAACCTGCTTGTGCAGGCATATGAGCTGCGTGGCGCCGGCGCCGTGCTGCACGGCCACTCCATGAATGCCTTTCTGGCCACGCTGCTGGACCCTGAAGCCAGCGAGCTGCGACTGACACACATCGAGATGATAAAGGGCATTGCGGGCCAGGCGCGTGGGAGCAGCGCAGCATCGAAGTGCCTGGAAAACAGCAGCAGGACGGCCAGGGCAGCAGCTGAGTCACAGGTGTAGCGAGCCAGCCAGGCCCGCCCACTCCTCGTGCGTTTCCGCCACTACTGCAGGGCTTTTACAGCTTACATGCGGTGCCTATCATTGAGAACACGGCTCGTGAATGCGAGCTCACTGACCGGCTTCGTGCGGCGATTGAAGCGTACCCGCAGGCCAATGCGGTGCTGGTGCGGAGGCACGGCGTCTATGTGTGGGGCAAGAACTGGATTGAGGCCAAGACGCAGTTTGAGTGCTATGACTATCTGTTTGAGGCAGCGGTGAAGATGCGGCAGCTCGGCAAGGATGCCGGCCGTGCTCCGTCAGCCCCTGCGCTCGCTAATGGACATGCCCCAAGTGAGCAGCCCGCTGCTGGGCTGGGGCCCGCCCCCAGTGTTTGAAGCCACGTTGGCAGCTCTCTCCAAGTGGCGCTTGATTGCCTTTGCTAGCCAGCCACACAGATTCATCTCCCAGCTCCTTTGTCTCTCTTCTTCCACATGCCAATCCTTCTGTCCTTTCAGCTCGTTTTCGTGCTGCTGCATGGGTGCAGATGGGGTGCAGAACGCAAAGAAGCCACGGCTGGACGGCGGCCCTCCCTCGCTGGCCAATGGCAGCGCTCGGCTGCCCACCGCCATTGTTGCAGACATCGAGGGAACCATTGCAAGCATCAGCTATGTGACAGACATTCTCTTCCCCTATGCCCAACAGCGCCTCGGGTAAGCATTTGGCGAGGCAGCTCTGTTGCTGTGGCCATGGCTGCTGCGCAATAGTGGGGGGAACCCGCTTCAACCTGGCTAGCGCTGACAGGCTTGATGCTGGGGTGTTGCCACCATGTTGGAGCGCAGGTCCCACCTGGAGGCCACCTATGACAGTGCTGAGACGCAGGAGGACCTGGCGCTGCTGAGGCAGCAGGCGCAAGCCGACTCGGCTGCTGGCATGGCGGTGCCTGCAATCCCAGATCCCAGCACGGGGCGCGAGGCTGTGATTGCCGCCGCGGTGGCCAACTGCGAAGCGCAAATGCAAGCCGACCGCAAGACCACTGCGCTCAAGAGCCTGCAGGTCCGCTACTCGTGGTTGGCTCAAGCTTGGCGCACCAGATCATGCTGATAAAGAGACAATCGGCCCTCCGCATTCAGCTGGATCCATACAATGTCGCTGTGGTGGTCCGCTGCTGTGCCTGCGCTGCAGGGCCACATTTGGGCAGGCGGCTTTGCACGGGGCGAGCTGAAGGGCGAGCTCTTCGCCGACGTGCCGGACGCATTGGCGCATTGGCGTGCCGCAGGCATCAAGACATACATCTACAGCAGCGGCAGTCGTGCGGCACAGAAGGACCTGCTGAGCTGCACCTCTGTAGGCGACCTGCGTCCCTACCTTGCCGGCTTCTTTGACACCACCTCGGGCCCCAAGGCACGTGCCGTGCCGCATTCCCTGCTCTTGCTCGAATGGTGCATGTTGTGGCGCTTATGGGCCCGCCTCTGCGAGATGAAACGGAGCAAAACCGCCGAGCAGCTCGCCCCCCAATCCACTGTGTTGGGTGCAGGTGGACAGCAGCAGCTACAGAAACATTGCGCTGTCCCTGGGCGTGGACAGTCCCTCAGAGCTGCTGTTCGCCACGGACAACATCCTGGAGGCGGAGGCGGCTGCAGCAGCGGGGTGGCAAGTTGTCTTGGCGGATCGGCCCGGGAACAAGCCACTGCCCGTGGGTCACAAGTTTGCGGTGGCCACCTCGGCGCACCAGTTTTTGAATGGCTTCCATTGAGAATTTTGGCATTGCAGCTCATCATTTGCTGACATTTTGTGACATGGGGGACACACGCCGCATCACTTACACAGAGGCCGTCTCACTGCACAGGCACGCGTGCCGTACCGCCGAGCTGCGTCGGCAGTACTCAGCCTAACTTTAATACCAAATAATACGGACAAATAATATGGACATTCGCCCGCCTCTAGCGGCTCTAAAACCCCATTCTAGCCTTTGCTCCTTGCTCCTCGGGCGGCCCGCTGCACTTGCCGCCAGGAGACAACAATCAAAGCAGCAACAATCAAAGCATGGGATTAACGCAAGAGCTCGCGGCTCTGCGGCTCGTGCAACAGCAGCAGCAGCAGCAGCAGCAGCAGCAGCAGCAGCAGCAGATAACGAGCTGCACGGATAAAGAACACCCGAGTCTCCAACTGCACTTGCTGCCGCCTGATGCCCTGGCGAGGATCATGGAGGTGCGCGCAGCTAGCCTCCTCGGGTGCCGCCCTGCACCCGCACGGCGGTGCCGAGCCGAGTGCGCACAGCCGTGCTGCAGCAGCTTTCAACAGAGTTCTCGTGCTCTTCTCCTCTCAGAATTTCTTCTCGCAGAATTTGAAATCGACATTTTCTTTCTGCAGAAGCTGAGCATTGAGGACATCTTACGGTGCTGCCAGGCCAGCCGCGCCCTGCGGGATGCCCTTCGAGACGACAGGATTTGGTGTGGTTTGTGTATGGCTACCTGGGGGCCCGTAACTTCGCCAGCGCAGTGGCTGGCTGTGCCTATCCCTTCTGCGCCAGGCAGCTCCAGCCGTGCCGCCACCCTGCCGGTGCCGTCAACGTACAGGCAACTATATTCGTTGCTAAAACAAGCTGCACCAATTCTGGGTCTCTGGCGATTGGTCGGCGAGGGCCCCCGCAGCTCGCTGATCAGCTTTCGATGGCAAAAGGACGGCATTCTCGGCATGGAGGTGGTGCCACAATCGCCGCTGACTGGCAAGGCGGGCGCGGCATTCTTTGCCCGCTTGTCCCCCCCAAACGGCCTCACCACCTCGGTGTTGGTGGAGGCAGATTCTGCGGTTGTGAAGGTGTATGCAGAGCACAAGAGCATTCACAAGAGCCCCTCGGCCGAGGCTGCGGCGGCGGTGGCTCTTCCCCACTCCCAGGTGTGAGGGCTAGGTGGGGCCAAGCTCGCGTGCTGTCTTGCACCCTACCGCGGCCTCACTGCACGTCCCGTGTTTCTTGTGGACACAACAGCATGCCTGCCACTCCGCCCGGGCTGCTGCTTGCAGGCCAGCTCCTCCACGCTGGGCACTTCGCCGCAGGGCAGCTTCGAGCATGAGTGGCTGGAGTTCATGTCGTCCAACATCAAGAGCAGCCGCACCAAGCACCGCCGCCGCTCGCAGCGCGGCATGGGCCCAGGTGATGGTGCAGATGGCTACCAAATGCTGGTGGCTGCAGCATCCCCGGCGGCTGCCAATTTTGTAATCTCTTGACGTCCTGCCTGGAACCCGCCTGTTGTGCAGCTCGCCCTGAAGGTCCCACGATCTACCACCTGAAGCGGGTGCATCAGCTGTCTCCGCCCAGCAGCAGGCTTGGCCTCGTCGGGCTCTGGGTTGCCGATTTTGGCCACAACCTTGGTCTGGAGGTTTTGCAGCTGCAGTACGATTTCAGCGGCCGGGCAGCGCAGCTGCAGGCAGTCAAGGTCACCGGGGATGAATGCGTGCCGGCAGGGCAAGTTAGCTGGCACTGCGCCGCGGCAGCACTGCCCATTCCCTGGTGCGCTGCCGACCAACAACTGGTACGTTGGCTTCAGGAGCGCGAATGGTGGGAGGAGGAGGAGGAGGAGGAGGAGGAGGGTTTCAGCGGCAGTGCCAGCGGCAGTGCCAGCCTCGCATCGACGGCAGCTGCAGCCGCTGGCGTCCCTGCTGCCGGAGTGGGCCAGGCCAGCAGGAGACCAAATAGCGTCGTCGCTATTCACAAAGGCAGCGGCCAAGTTGCTGGGCCCGGCTTTGTTCAACCAGAGTGGGTGGCCGGCAGATTATTAGTTTTTCAAGATGGCCGGCTGTGCTTTGCTTGGGAAGGGTTGGAGCACGTCACTGACATGCGGCGGCTCCGCCTGCGTCAGTAACGGAGCGGCTGGCGAGGATGGGTCGCAAGTCGCCAGGCGTGCCTGGCACATTGTGCAAATTCTTTTAATCGTACCAATGAAATTAGCATCACAGTTGAAACAACGCTGAATGTTCATGGATGCATGGATGCGCAACGAGACCAGTGGGGGAGCCTTCGGCGGAAGTTGGCAATCATCGGCGCCGTGTCTTCCACACGATATCAAGTCCGTTGAGTTCCCACTCCTCGCCTGCATCAACCCAGCATATGATAGGATATTTGGCGCCCATCTGTGGAAGTCAGCAGGACCACTTGTGAGGACCACTTGTGAGCGGACCCGGCGTGTGCTGCTTTGAGGCTTATGGAACAGGGGGCAAGCAGCGGCAGTATCCTCTTGCCTGTCCCCTCAGAGACATACACTCGCAGGCTGGTCAGCTCGGTGGCCCTGGGGCTCTCGCCCACTGCGAACAGCGACTTGCCGCCATCGCACATTTTCGCATAGTACGGCCCCAACTTACACCGCGCCAGCTTCTCTGTGCCTGGCGACAAGGCGATTGCCAGGCCATCGGCTCCAAACACAATACCAACCCCCGGCTGATCACGAATAACCGCCATCGAGGGGCCTCCAACCTGTAGGACATGCACCATGCAGTCATGTCTGGCAACCGGGCATTCTATATGTAGGCAGCACTTTCGGCTCCAATCCAACCTTTGCCAGTTTGATGGGGCGCTGGGTGAGGTCACCATCTCGCCAAGTAAACAAAAACGCTGCGATGCTATCCCTGCTGTCCTCCCCCAGGCTGATCCAGCCTGCAAAGTAAGGGATGCAGGCCATATCACCCCCCCGTAAAACTGTGCAAATGAAGCTCTGCCACCACAGGCATCTATGCAGTATGCAAGGCACCATTAGCCCACCAGCATTACTGCCGCCGGGCATGCTGCAAACACTGCGTTGCGCCCCTTCCCCATCTCACCGCGTGGGTTATAGCCGCCCACCACAGCGCCCCCCACTGTGCATGGAGCAAGAAAGGCGGCGATTTGAACGAGGCGGAAAGGGGGCGGTGGCGATGCGTCCAGGCTGTCTTCTCAGCGGGAGGCAGGTGGACATCCACACACATCACCGACCTGTCTCTGCCACAACCAGGGCAGCGCCAAAGCCGTCCACACGTTGGTGGAAGGCTGTTGGAGTCCAGCCATCCTGATCAGCATCATAGGCAAGCCTCAGCGGGACACTCTCCAGCTGGGTCTGTGCAAGCAGCGGCCGCAGCTTTGCCACATCCTCGTTGTCGCCGCTTAACGACTCCGCAAAAGTGTCGGTCACGGCCGGGTACAGCTCCTTGGCCGCCTCCTCGCTGACACGCTTCAGGCCGAACGGAGTTGGGTCATCCAGGGCCGGTCGGCCAAACAGGCGGCCAAAAAAACTCTCAATCAGGTCTTCCTCTTGCGCCCTGGCCCGCCAGCACAGTTGGCTGGCCCGCCGCCGTTGGCACATGCCTATCCACGGAGCTCCAGGGGGGTGCCGCCTGGCATCATGCGCAGCCCCGCTGCTGCTGCTCAGGCCAGCAGAGCGCATAATGTCTCCTGCTGCAAACTCCTCTCGTCCTTGCTTCCGCACTGGATGAGGAGAGCAGGGAGGGAAGGACAGCCCTGCAAGGAAGCGGGGTCAAGGGGGAGGCTGGCTGGCGGCGGAGCTGGCTGGGAAGGCAGGGAAGGAAGGGAAGGCAGGGACGGGGGGAGCTGGCTCGCGCCACTTCCACTTAATCCATCAATCGGGCTCCCAGGAGGAGGAGGAAAGGGCAGGGATCAGCCAGGGAACGCAAGCCATTTGCAAGTCGCAGGGAAAAGGCCCCCCTCTTGCCTATTCTCCGACAAGCAGTTTACAGCTTTGTGATATAATGCCAGGTGCCTGCATCGATCTAATCTCGGTGGCAGCAAGCTTCGGTCTCGCCATGTCAGCGCCAGTCAAGAGAACCTCACTAGATAGTCGTCGTATCAAATGATAAACGTTCGTGAAATTCGTGCTGGATGTGGCGAGCAGGGGCGGCACAGGTGCGACACCCTGAGGCGCTGCAGGCTCCACTGCTTGCGCTCTCTGGAGCTGCTCCAACTACGGGTTCTTGGGGCTCATGCCCAGCAAGTTGAGCAAGGGGAGCGACCTATCTCTGCCTGTCTACCCTGCCCTGCCGCAGCAGCGGTTTGTGCGGCGCCTCTCCTCCGCCGCGCTGCCATCGGTGGGGCGCCTAAACCACGTGGCCATTGCGGTCCCATCCCTGGAGGAGGCTGCTCAAAAGTACAGGGACGTGCTCGGGGTCAAGGTCAGCGCGCCGCAGTCCCTGCCCGAGCACGGTGTGCGGGTGGTGTTTGTGGAGCTGCCCAACACCAAGCTGGAACTGCTGGAGCCTCTGGGCAGCTCCTCCCCCATTGCGGGCTTCCTGCAAAAGAACAGCGCTGGCGGCATGTAGGTGCTTGATGCCTTGCCTTCTGCTGCCACGCCAGCGAGCCATGCCCCGCCTTCATCCTTTTCCTTGCATGCATCTCCTGCTACTGGCCCGACCACCAGTACCGCCCTGCAATGCAGCCATCACATTTGCCTGGAAGTGGATGACATCCATGCCAGCATGCGGCATGTGGGTGAGCGGGTGCGCTTGCTGGATAAGCAGCCCAAGATTGGGGCGCATGGCCTGCCAGTGGTGTTTGCACACCCGAAGGATTTGTGTGGCGTGCTGACGGAGTTGGAGGAGGTTAAACGCTGAGCAAGCGGTGGACCTGCTCCTGGACTTGGCACCAGCCTGTCATGCTTGTGCATCGAAAAAGGGGTATCCGCAACAGTGTAAACCCAGATTTGTTTCGGTCAGGCCATTATCGCCGCTGGTGATGCCGCTGATGATACAGCTTACACGGCGCGGGTGCCTCACGCCGGCGCCGGCAGCTGCTGCAGGCTGCTGTCATGCACGCGGTACTGTCGTGTCTGCCAGGGCCTGGTGGAATCTGTGTAGTACGACTTGATGCTCAGCTCCATCCACGGCCCGCCGTCCCTGCAGCACGATAGTGACATTCGGATAATGAAGCAAGATGGCAGCCTTTCCGTGGATGACGCTGGCCCACCCAAGCCCACTGCCACAGCACTTCTGGCATGCCTCCCACGTAGCAATGGCCCACCGTTGGCAGCCCTGGCCCAGCAGCTGCTGCAGCCGCTGCCGCAGCGCCGCCGCCGCCGATGCTTCGTCCCGCAAATCACGTGCCGGCAGGTCTTTGAAAAAGCAGTCGGCATCGGGGCCAAAGAGGATGAGGTCTAGCGTGGCGGTGGCGTCCTCAACCACCAGCTTCAGCGTGTACACCCAGCCGCTACTGCCAGCGATGCCATTGGAGGGGCCTGCAGGGCGGAGAGTGAGGCGATCAGGCACCTCGTCATTCACATGAAAATGCAAAAACAATCCTGGCATATTGGCTTGTGCCACACACCTGGCAGCCCGCACTCGCTGGCTGGGTGGCACATGGCGGTGGGGTCCTGCGGCTGGTGGTCCACTAGCCGCACCAGCACGCGGTAGCAGCGCGGCCGTGCCGCTGGCGTGTCCAGCAACACTTGACGGAGCGTACTGCATGGCCGCTCCCGGTGGCTGCACAGCGTCAGCAGCTCGGTTGCGCCCGCGCGCGGGTCTGGCGCCCAGCCCGCCGTGTGGTTGGCCCCCAGGCGTTCGCGATACTCATCCATGAACTGCTGCTGCGGCTGCATCTCATGCTGCCAGGGTGCCCAGCGGCTGTTGCGGAAGAAGAAGGCCTGCAGGGGTGGATGAGTGGCACGTCTAGCCACCGGCCATGTTTGGGAAACGTAGACCGAATGCAACAACCATGCAACAGTGGCCGATACCAAGCAGCGGCACCGCAACCCACTCGTACAGCCAGCCAAGCTTTCTCACACAGCCCCGGGCCTCACCTGCAGCTGGCCGCTCACCACACGTGCGCCCAGGTTGCGAAACTTCACCCAGCTGCCCACCGCCGGCTGTTCCACGCGGCTGCTCTTGGGCAGCACCAGCGGCAGTGCGGTCCCAAGCAGTGGCACTTCACGAAAGTCTGGCAAGTCCTGGACGGTAGGCAGCACACAAGCAGCAGCAGGCGGCATGGCTGAATGCTAGGGCCGGCACCAAATAGGCAACAGTGGAGCGGCTGACCGTGTGCAGTCTGGCAGCTGATGCAGCCTGCTCCAAGCGGTGCGGCCTGCTGCAACACTACCTCTAGGGGCAGCGCAAAAGGCCGCAGCAGAGGCAGCTGTTGCTGCACCTCGGATGCATCTTCCTCCTGCCGCGTGTCGTACCTGCAGTGGCGGGCAAGGCAAGTCGCACCAGGCTACCAGCACCTTGCTGCGTGTGCACACTGGACCGATACGACCCTGACCAGCAGACCGAGTGCCTGCCTCCATTTACTCACGCCTTTGGGAAGGGAAGGGCATCTGAGCCATCCCAAAGGTAGAGCAGACGCAGGCTGGCATGGCTGTCATCCGCCGCCAGCACACGGCACACGGCGTCGAAGAACTGCATCGGGCGGATGTCCTTGATGCGGCGCAGGTAGGTGGTGTTGCCGCCAAGCTGCTGCCGGTTCAGGGTGGCCATGTAGTGGCGCAGCGCCTCCAGCAGGCCCTGCTCCCGCTCATCGAAGAAGTAGTGCGCAGAGGAGACCTGGTAGGGCTGGGCCACGCCAGCAGAGGCCCCATCAAAAAGGCAGAAGGCGAAGCCCCGGAAGCCCACCTTCCCCACCAGCTGCGGCCGGTCGTTGTACCGATCCACCTATAGCCACAGTGGTGGGCAGAGGAATGAAACAGGAAGCGGCGGCTCCCAGCAAAGCAATCCCAAGACAGGGCCGTGCTAAGTCTGCTGTAGCAGTGGCCGCAGCCTCCAGCGCGAGCAGGAGGCAGGCATGCTGGCGTGCTTTCGATACCCCCAAGAGGCTCCACCTTCACTCTGTGCAGGCGAATGATGTCCCCGGCCCGGCGCAGGTGCGGCAGCTGCTCAGCGTGGGGCGCAAAGCACATCAGCTCGATGCCGGCAGCCAGCTCTGGGCGGTCGGGAGTGCTGGGGTCTATCAGCGTCAGATTGCAAACCAGGTCTGCAGCAAGCAGTGTCACAAGGGCTTTGGGATCACCCCAGGATGAGGCAAAGGGCCACTGATTCAGTCGGGCGCGCTGCGACACCGCAGCATAGCTGTCGGTGGCGGCGCTGCCACTGGCGCTAGTTCAGCAGCAGCAGCCGCCCCCCACAGCTGCATGAGTGGCTCTGGGTCACCTGTGCCCCGCGTGGGCCGCGGCACGCTGCATTCCGACACCACCGCCCACAAGCACAGAAAGGTGTTGCGCGTGGCCTCGGCGGCCGCACTCAGCATCACATAGTCATAGGTCATCGTTGCAAGGTGACTTGGGCAGGCAACGCCGGTTTCCGTGCTCTCATCAAGCATTCTTCATGTTGAACATGCGCAGCAAGCTCAGCGCAGCCCCTCCCAGCGCAGCCCCACCGTGTCCTCCCCATCAATTCCATCGACTATGCTATAGTACACAGAGGCGAGATCCAAGGGAAGTAAGCAAAGCAAAATAACAATTGGCGATAGACGGGAGAGCACAGAAAAGTTCACAGTTGCATGGCGGCGCGGTGTCCGTGATCCAGCTACTTGTGATCGTAGCACTACTTGTGATTTGTTATCAAGTCCTTGATGGCCGCAAGCATGATGAGCGTCAGGCTAATCATCACGATGACGGCCAGAGTGATGGGGCCCAGCTGCGGGGTGGCAGATGTGGGGTATGCAGCCGGGGCGGCGGGTTGAGCCCACCTTGCCATCGTGCTGAGAGGGCGCTCGGGCAGCCATTCTTGGGACACTCCACGCTTTGCTGCCGACTCAAATCCAGACCTTGCTCCCTTTTCACATCACGCACCTTGTCATCGAAGAAGCCCACTTGCTTGCGGCGGATGAACTCGGAGCGCCAGTAGAAGGTGAAGAGGGCATAGGCAATCATGGCAATGGAGATGGGCAGCAGCGTGAGCGTGATGAGCTCCACCGTGCTCTGGCTGATGCCGCCCTTGTGCTTGGCCTCTGCGTCCTCCACGGCAAACCCCGCAATGGCAGTGCTCACTGTGCCCAGCGTGGTGGCCATGCCCAGCCAGGCCAGGAAGGTGCGCTCATTGGCTGCACAGGGCCGGGTGGGGGCAGCGGGGTGCCAGGGGGTGAGAGGGCAGAACAGCGCCGAGTAGCAGTGGCGGCAGCGGTGGGCAGTGGCAGGAGGGAGTGCAGCGGGTCTTGGCATAGCCCGCTTGTTGCAATTGCTGGCTCACCAAAGTATGTTTTGGGCTCTATGCGCAGCGGGATTTTCCGTGGCTTCTGGTATTGGGCTCCCTGCGGCCAAGCAGGCGTGGGGGCATCGGGGCGGCGGGGGCGGGGTTCCGGCCCCAAGCTCATGCTGGCCCGCAGCTGCTGCCCCTGCGTTAGGCTTCCGGCTAGCCTGCAGAGTCTGTGCTACACGCGCTGCCCAGCCGGGCAGCTCCCACACCTCGGTGTGCGTGCGAGTGCCCCACAGGGCGTCCACCAGCGAGGAGGGCTGCAGCGTGGGCATCTCGGTGGATCGATGTGTGCAGTTCTGTTTCGAGCAGACAACAGCACCAGTTTGGTGCGCATCCTGGTCGACGTGGCCACGCCTGGCCAGGGCCAAGACGCACCGAAAACTAGCTTTCGGCACATGCTTTCACTCTGAGCGACCCATACTTTCACTAAATTTAGGATCCAGCCACCCGTGGTGGAGGTTGCTCCCGGCGCATGCCTTTGATTATCATGAGGCCTTGGCGAGCACCGAGGGCGGGGTTTGCGGCCAGCCAGCAGAGCTGTAGGGCGTATTCGTGGCGCCACACGACGTGCTACGCGCCCCGGGGGGGGCAGGAGGCTCCCAGGCAGCAGCGGCAGCGGCGGCAGAGGTGGGCCGGCCGCCTCTTCCACACCCCGCTCGCTAAGTCCATAGGGACTGGGATTTGATTTCTTGACGGGGGTTTGACGCGGAGTCCTGTGTTTGCTGGCAGGGGTGAGGGCGGCGAGCGCAGTACAGATGTAGGCAGCGGGGGCGGGTTCCGAGCTGGTGGCCCGCCAGAGCGCCAGCAGCAACGGCAGGAGCAACAGGAGCAGGACATCCCAGTGGTGCGGCCGGGGCAGGCAGCGAGCGCCACCTTCTTCTCGAGCGACCGCTGGGACGCGCTGGGTGCCAGCGCGGAGGTGGTGGCAGCGCTGCAGACACTGGGCATCACGCGTCCGTCCCACATCCAGGTGAGCTGCCAAGCTGTCGCAGTGCTGCCGGACTTGCATCTGTGCGCTTGCATCTGGCGCCAGCATGTGGCAGCAACAGGGGCCAAGCTTTATCTGCCGGCAATTGTGCTTGATGCACTCCCAGTGGTCCATTTTCTCTCCAGCAGCTCAGCCCATGCCACCCCACCCTCGATGCAATTTGTTTCCACTTATTGGTGGCTTGCAGGCGGCCGCCTACCGCGCTCTGGCGCAGAGCGGCGCGCGGCACGTGGTGCTGGCTGACCACGCAGGCAGTGGCAAGACGCTGGCCTACCTGCTGCCACTGCTGCAAGTGCTGCGCGAGGAGGAGCGTGTGCTGGGTGCCGCCGCCACGCAACCCCACTGCCCCCGCCTGGTGGTGGTGGTGCCCACCGCAGAGCTGTGTGCACAGGTTGTGCGCGTGTGCCGTGCACTGTCACGCGCGGGGCTGCGCTTCCGCTCAGCAGCTGCCACTGGGGGACGGCCGCTGCGCACCCAGAAGGAGATGCTGGAGGGCGGGGTGGATGTGCTGGTGGGCACGCCTGGCCGCCTGGCAGAGCTGCTGGGCGAGGGCTGCCTGCAGCTCACCTTTTGCCGCGCCGTCGTGGTGGACGAGGTGGATGTGTTGCTGGGGGAAGACTTCGCGTTTGCCGAGCAGGTGGCGCCACTGCGGGCAGCAGCCCCCAGCACCACGCGCTTTGTATTTGCCACTGCCACCATTCCGGAGCAGGTGTACCTGGACCTTGAGGAGGTGCGGGGCCCCGTGAAGCTGGAAGGCTTTTTCTGTGCTGGTCGGCAGCCAGCCACATGCACTCAGCAAAGACACCTAGGCTGCCACACACAAGTGATCCAGTGCACCTCCGCGAACTCCTCTTACTACGTGTGTATCGTTGGTGTGAGAGCTGAGTTCCAATCCGTGTGCTTCATGTGCAGGCATTTCCTGGCCTGGCAGCCGCACTCGGGCCTGGCCTCCACCGCACTGCGCCAGGTGGGTTGGTGGAGGTGGCTGGCTGCAGCAGTGAAAGCAGGCACCAGCTGTCGCAACAAAGCGGTGTTTGCCCCTCTCCCTTGTATGTTGTATGGCTTGGGTGTTTTCCAGATCGACCCCCCATACCCTCCCACCTACCTGCAGGCATCACCGAGCAGCTGGTGGACTGCAGCGGCGGTGACGAAGTCAGCGCGGAGAGCGGTTTCCAGCGCAAGGCGGCCGCACTGTTTGCGGTGCTGCAGGAGCAGCGGGCCTCTCGCTCCATTGTGTTTTGCAACAAGATAGAGTCCTGTGAGTGGATCCGTCAATCATGTATGTGTGCCGCATGGCTGCACGTGCAAGGGTGCCAGCACAGGGCTCCTGCCGCCTCCAATTCTTTTTGTCACTGCCTACCCTGCAGGCCGCAAGGTGGAGAACTTCCTGAACCGCACCTTCAGCCATGAAGACCATGCAGAGGTGCTGCCCCACCATGCTGCCATCGCCGACACGCACCGTGATGCCAACCTGCGGCGCTTCCTTGCATTGCCAGACAGCAGCGGCGGCCGTCGTGGCGGCAGTGCCAGCACCAACACCCCTGAGCGGCTGGTGTTGGTGTGCACGGACCGTGCCAGCCGCGGCATGGACAGTGCGTTTGTGGAACACGTGGTGCTGTTTGACATGCCGCGTGACCCTTCGGAGTACCTGCGCCGCGTGGGGCGCACCACACGGGGCGCTGGCAGCAGCGGCGTGGTGTCGGTGCTGGCGCTGGGGCGTCAGGTGCGTCTAGCTCGGGAGATCATCGACAGAAACCAGGGCGACCTGGTGCTGCACCGCATCCCGGCAGTGTTGCCAGTGGCCGTGGAGCGCACTGATGCCGAGCGCTTGAGGAGCAACATGGCGGTATCAGCAGCAGCAGGCGCGATGCCAGCAGCAGCAGCCCCACCACCTGCAGCCGATTCTTTTGAAACTGAGCAGCATGGAACATCCAGCTAGCCACCCACCCACCCATGCTTGACTCTCAATGTATAAAACAGCAAACATCCCAGATCCAATGATAACAAGTCAGGTGTTGGGGGAACACGCCACGCCAAAGGGTCAGCCAGGAGATGCCTAGTCTGACTCGTCTCCCGACTGCTGTGCCTTCCGGATCTCTTTCTGCGCCTGCTGCTGCCCCATGCGCTCCGCCTCCTGGAAGGCTCGCCGCAGCGCAAACACGTCGTCCGTGACTGACACCTTGGGCAGCTGCGGCGCGCGCTTGCCGGTGCCGCCTTCCTCCCGCCCTGATTCAGGGAACAGTAGCAGCTGGATGGTGAGGCCTGCAGCAGGGTGTGACACCTGGGGCTTTGAGAGTAACCTAGCGGGCTGTGTTGGCCCATACAGCAGCGTGGAGATTGGTGCCACCCTCAGTGGATCCTCTCAAGCAGTTCATTGCGTTGGTCAACTGCCGCAGGCTACCCCCTGCGCACCGGCTAGGCCTAAAGCATTGGCACCAAAGATGAATGTGATGAGGTAGACAAGCCCCCGGCACACCGTCTGCACCAGCACCGCGACGTTGTGAGCCGTGTACTGCGTGGTGATGTCAGGCAGATTCTGGCGGTCGAAGTAGGCGTCCACGGCGGTGCTGGCTTGAAAGAGCAAATAGCAGATGACGCCTGCCTGCGCTGTGCCTCTGCATGCACAGGAGGGCAGGCACAGGCGGGGAGGTCTTCGGGTGCTTCTGATGAGGAGCCCTAAGCCGTCCATTCCATGCAGGCTGGCACCACTGTGGCGCTGCCACTAGCGGTTGCCGCCAGTAGCCTCACATGAAGGACTGCAGTGGGGTAACCTCTGTAGCTGCCTGCTGCTGCTTGGCCTTCTGCTCCTCCTCGTCCTCCTCATCGTCACTGTCCGCGCCCCCACCATAGGCAGCCACATCCGCTACTGAGGCTATCCGCTGCGGCAAAGCGGGAGCACAATCACACCAATCAAACATGCCATGCCTGCGTTGTGCCCCCGCCCAGTGGCAATACAACAGTGAGTTGTTCACCACCCCTCCTATAAGGAGAAGACCTGCCCAAACCAAACAAGCACAGCAAACACACACCTCGGACGTCGCCTTTTGTGCCCTGCGCTGGAACAGGCGCAGGAAGAAGAAGATGACCACGCCAATGTAGGCCACCCCAGCCACCGTTTTGAGAGTGTCCGAGCCGCCAGTGGGGTTGTAGGCCACTGCCATGTCCTCTGCCGCCAGCACTGCCGGCACCCACGCCAGCAGGCTGCTGCTGCCGGCCAGCAGCAGCGCTGCCGCCCTGGCCTCTGCTGCATCTGCGAGCCATGCTTGGGCGGGCAGATCCGCTGCTGTCTCCCGCCATGTGCTGTGCTGCTGCTGCTCCTCAGGTGGCAGCTGGCGCTGCCTCCCCCCAAGGCGGACGCCACCCTCACCGCTCGCCAGGCAGCGGCAGCGGGCGCTTCTCGTGGGCCGCCGCCGCACTGCCAGGTGACCACTGCACAGCCCCGCTGCTCCCCAAGCTCCTCTGAACCACGCACGGGCCCTGCCGCTGAAGGTTGCCGAGAGCGGTGGCATTCGAGCGGCTGAGCGGCTCGGATACAGGGCGGCCACTGGGGATGTGTAGCATATGCAACAACGAAGCGGGCACGATCGAGTGCCGCCTCGCGGAGGTACTGCCGTACATCGCCGCCTCGGCGCCGCTGGCAACTTTACAATGCAGCATGCATCCACTGACGATCCTCCTGTGCATCCCGCCTGAGCTACAGCAGAGTCACCATTGCGGCTCGCCGCCTGGTGCTGGCCCTGTGCAGGCCACTATTGGCAGGACGGCTAGATCGGTGTGGGTACATCGCAGGAGAGGAGCTGCTGCACCGCTGGCCTGCCCCTTACGTCCAGCGCCGCATTCCCTTCCTACTCCCCACCCCTTTCGACGAGGCTGTTGCGAAGGCCATGGGCAAGCGCGACAATGAGCCGAGTGCAGCCAACACCACGGCCTCAGTCCAGGCAAGCTCAGAGGCTGAATGTGCCGCCACCCGCCGCCACGTCGCCGTCCCCATCCACAGCCCGCGTGCAAGGCAGGTGGACACGATGCCCCTTGCCAGGCATCACGCCAGCCAATTGTTGCTGCCGTTGCCATCGCAGGTGCTGGGCGTGGGCAGTGACACCGGCTGCTCCGTGCCCTCGGTGCTGCTCTTCTTCGATCGCCAGCGCTTCCTGTTCAATGCGGGCGAGGGCTTCCAGCGCTTTTGCGTGGAGCACCGCATCAAGCTGGCCAAGGTGTCAGGGGTGTTGGCCACGCGCACCACCACAGAGGCCACGGGTGGACTGCCAGGTGTGGGCTGTGATGAATGTGCGGCATATGTCAGAATCGGAGGTCATTTGGATGTGAGTGCTTGATGCTCCAGCAGGAGGGGTGCTGCCAGGCTGTCTTCTTCTGGCCTGACCAGTTTGTGTTTCTGCTGGCTGGTGCTGAAGGTATGCTGCTGACGATGGCCGACACAAGCTGCGGTGGGCTGCTGGCAGGGCACACAGGCATGAGCCTGTACGGCCCGCCTGGCCTGAACACCCTGGTCAATGCCTTCCGCACCTTCGTCAATGTGCGGGACATTGGGCTCAAGGTGAACGAGTTCTCCGACAATGGCACGACGCAGCCTGTGGTCAAGACTGAGCTAGTCACCATCACCCCGGTCACGCTCACGGCGGCGACCCCTGGACAGGCATCAGCGCATGCACAGGAGGAGCGCGCTTGTGCAGCAGAGCCGGAGGCGAAGCGGCAGCGGATGGAGGCCACTAATGGCGATACCCAGCAGGGCGGAGGCAGCGTCGGCATGGAGATCGCATCAGTGGTGGTGGAGAGCCCTGCTGCGTGCTACATCTGCGAGCTGTCCGACGTGCCCGGCAAGTTCCTGCCGCAGAAGGTATGCTGCATGGGGTGTGGATACCCGCATAGCCTGCTGGCACTTCCCAACTGAGCACAAGATGCTCGTGCTAGCAAGGACAGCCTCTTGACCAGGTGCTTCCATTACGCGCTGGCACTTACTCTTCGGAATGGCATGCACTGCGGTTGGCCCGGTGCACAGGCAGCCTCCCTGGGCGTGCCACGTGGCCCGCTGTACGGCAAGCTGGTGAAAGGCGAGGAGGTGACGGCAGCCAACGGGCAGACAGTACGGCCACAGGATGTGATGGAGCCCGCAACACCAGGTGTGAGTGAGCAGAGTGTGAGGGGTTGGGGGTGCAGGTAAGCATTCTGGGTTGTTGTACTGCAAATGCGGCCCTTATTAAGCAGCGCTTTGCGGTCGACAGTCACAGTGACTTGCCGTTCCACCCCAAAGGCTGCATCCATCCATCTCTGCAGGCCCTGTGGTTCTGGTGGTGGACTGCCCCAGCCAGGTGTTCCTCGCAGGCCTCACCACGGCGCCACTGTTGCAGGCCTGTGCCACGGGCACGAAGCGTGGCAAAGGTGGCCCTCAAGATGCTTTGTGCCCGTGGAAACCGGCTGTTTTGGTGGTGGTGGAAGTTGCAGCCAGATGGCTGCATACACCCAGCCAGTGCTGAATTCTGTTCTGTGTTGTCAAGATCCCCTCTCCGCTGTTCCTGCAGTGGCATGCGTGGTGCACCTATCACCGCTTGAGGTGGTGCGCCTGCCTGCCTACCGGCAGTGGCTGGAGTCATTTGGACCGGCTGCACAGCATGTGCTGGTGGCCGAGTCCATTGCATCCCCCGCTCCCATTATGCGCAAGTCGGCAATTCTGCAGGCAAGGGCCAGGGGCTGTACTGGAACCCCCGGAACTGAATCGAGCGTCGTTGCGTGCAGCACTTCAGGGCAGATGCCAATGCCCTCAAGCAGGAGATGGCCCTGTGCCGTCGCAGCCACTGTTGGCACGCTGCTCAGCATCATTGCACTGCGGCCCCTCGCTTTCCCCTGCAGGCCAAGCTCAACCTGATTGACCCCACCCTGTTCCCTCTGCACGATATGGCACAGGACGTGGCGACTGCCAACCTGCCTGCCAATGCTGTGGTGGGCAGCAACATGCTGCGCTACCATCTGCGACCACTGGCCAAGAAGGGCGTGGACACGGGTGTGTGCGGTTCAGAGTCCAGGTTGATACCCTCTCTGTGTGCTTGGCTGCGCTTCGGCGGGCCGTGCCACCCCTACCTCACACTTGCCAGCGCCTACCCCTGATGCTTGCAGCCGACTGCCCAGCGCATCTGGACGTGGAGGATGTCCAGGCAGAAGTGAAGCGTGAGCGGCCAGAAGTGCTGGAAGCGCTGGCAGTGGCAGCGCAGCAGGACTCAGCGGTGGCACAGGAGGCGGCGCCGGCCTGCGTCACCAGCGGGTCTCGGAGCGAGTTTGAGGTGACCTTTCTGGGAACCGGCGCTGCAGTGCCTTCCAAGTACCGCAACGTCACCGGCCTTCACCTCAACCTCTTTGACCGCGGCGGCCTGCTCATGGACTGCGGTAAGGCCCCCTGGGCAGCAGTGGCAGATGTTTCACGTGTGGTCTTGGCAATGTCTGTCTCTCAGGCCTGCCTCCGCATGCCCTTCCCGTCCCTTGCATAGGTGAGGGCAGCTACGGCCAGCTTAAGCGGCGGTTTGGATCGGCGGCAGCCGACGACCTCGTATGCGCGCTGCAATGCATCTGGATCTCTCACATTCATGCCGACCACCATGTGGGCCTGCCCACCCTGCTGGCTGCCCGCACGCGCCTGCTGGGCCCCGAGTGCCCGCCGCTGCTGGTGCTAGGGCCACGCCCCCTGCGACGGGCACTACAAGGCTATGCCCAGCTGGAGCCGATGCGCTTCCGCTTTGTGGAGGCATCAGCCACAGCAGGGCAGCCTCCAGGCGCGCATACGCTGCCGCCTGTGGCTCCTGAGGCACGCGCCGCAGTGGATGCAGTTGTGGCTGGGCTGGGTCTGTGTCGCTTTGAAAGCGTGCTGGTGGCACACTGCGCCCATGCCTATGGCCTGGTGCTGGAGCGTGACACCGGCAGCACCAGCGGTGAGGGCACCCGCTGGAAGTTGGTGTTCAGTGGCGACACACGGCCCTGCCCGCAGCTGGTAGAGGCGGCTAGGGGTGCCACACTGTTCATTCACGAGGTGCGCCTGCCGCCTACTTGTTCGGCTGCAAGAATTGGCACACTGAAGGCTGCCAGCATGTGTTCATGACTACTTGTGACTTCGTTTGCTACCACCTCACTACGCAATGGTGGGTGCAGGCCACGTTTGAGGACTCCCTGGCCGAGGAGGCGGAGGCCAAGCGGCACTGCACCACCAGCGAGGCGGTGCAGGCGGGGGCACAGGCCGGTGCGTACCGCACCCTGCTCACCCACTTCAGCCAGCGCTACCCCAAGATCCCGGTTGTGGACCAGAACTTCCAGGTGAGGCATCATGGGGCTCACCAGATGCAGGCAGCATGCGTCATGTGTTTGGGACGTCATGCGCTGCCAAAAGGGGCGGCACTGAAGGAGGAAGGCTTGCCTGGTGGTGCTCTGCAGGGCACCGTGGGCATCGCATTTGATCTCATGTCAGTCAACCTGGCAGATGTGACCCGTCTGCCTCACATTGTGCCCGCCCTCAAGCTGCTCTTCATCGAGCATGAGCAGCAGGACGAGGAGGACGCGGAGCCTCTGCCACAGATGCTAACATGAAGCGGCGCCAGCTCCCTTGCCGCGGTTCAAGGCTGGTGTGGAGCAGAACAGTGTATCATGCAAAGCACATTGGTGTTCATTGATGATGAAGTTTCAGTTTGCTCTGCCCAAGACTGGCTTTGCAAACCCTGAATTCTGTTCATCCAGCATCGACGGCTGCATAGCGGCGTCAGCGAGGCGCGCCATGGAGGTGTGGTTCCTGCACCTCGTGAATTGCTTTTCTGTGCGCGTTTTGAGGGAATCCCGCGGCTGCTGGCATGGTCAGCCGTGTGGGCAAGGGGCTGGCTGCCGCGATGGTTTCCCTTCGCCCAGCGCACCGCAACCTTCAGTCTACAAGCTTATGTAATTTCGGAAAGCGAGGAAATCGGCTGATGTGCTCGGCGGCAGCAGCAGAAGCAACCGGCAGCGGACTACCGGGCGGCAGCGTGCCGACGGGCGCCGCTGCTCGTAGGGTAGCAGCGCTGTTTGTGCGCCAACCAGCGCTGTGCTTGGAACGCGCAGTTGGGGAGAAGCATGGAATCGACCAAAACCTGTGGGACAGCTGCCATTTCCAGGCCGAAATTTACCCGGACCTGCCGCTGGCCACCACCTGGCGCGACCTGCTGCGCCGCACGGTTCAAACTGCGGGGCATGAAAGCGAGGTGGGGCGGGTGGAGCCACCGCCGAAGGTCTGCCCCGCGGAGCGTTGGACAGTGCGCACGGTGGCGGCGCAGCTACGATCGCGAGACCAGCTGCGCTCCATGATGCTGTCGGCAGCGGGGGTGGACCCGGCGGGCGACCCCAAGCCCGGCGTGCGCCCTGCCGACGCCCTGCTCTTCGTGTCTGGCAGCCACCCTGCCCGGCATTTGCCAGGGGCAGGCAGGTGCGTGGAACCAGGACATCTGCTGGTGGCGCACACTCTGGCAAACAGAGCGGGTGGGGCAGGAGCGCCTTTGTGTGGGAGCAGCATAAGCTGCCCTGCTTCTAAACAAACTGCTCCTTATCTGCCCCCTCTCCTGCCACGCTGTCCCTCCCCCCTTTTTCTGCAGGTGGCTGCAGGACAGCTTCGACCTGCTGTTGCTGGCATCGGCGATGCGTGAGGAGGGTTACCTGCCCGCTTCCCTGTCACTGTGGGCAGTGGAGAATCCCATGCTGGCGCCCGTGAAGCGGCTGCGCCAGAAGGCAGATGCGGGGGCAGAGGTGGTGGTGACGCAGCCGGCGCTGCTGTGGGATCGTGTGCAGCGATGGGCAGATGAAGCAGACCGGGAGCTGGTGTCGCACAACGTCAAGGTGCATTGCTGCGTTCAAATCCAACACAGGTCCACATTGGATTGATGGCTGTGTGCGCTCTGTAGCACACCTTTGTTTCTGATGCAAAATCTCTTAGCACTCTGATCCCCTCGCCTTGCTTGCTTTGCCTGGTGTGTTCCGGCAGGTTATGCTGGGCCTGCCCATCGTCCCCTCCATCGGCAACCTGGACTTCTGGTTGCGGCTCTGCAATGTGCGCGGCCTGCCTGAGGCCCAGGCCCTGTTGCAGAGCTTCCCACAGTCTGAAGAGCGGGACCGCAAAGGGCACGCCGCGGCAGTTCGCCAGTGGAATGCAGACCTGATACGGAAGGTAGGGGATGTGGGGGCATCTAGCAGGGTGCTCATGTTTGTGCGACCGTACCAAGCTGGTTTTCATGTGAATCGGCCCGCTGCAGTCTCTGAGCCTGCCCGGCGTCGCGGGCCTGCACGTGATGCCTCTGACCAAGTTAGCCCGGCAAATGACGCTAGACTTTCTGGCAGACGGCACCCTGCCCTCCCGGTTCTGATGTGACTACACCACCCACTGTGAAAGAGATACATGTCTTGAGCTCTGCTCAACTTGCCAAGACAAAGGGGTTTGGGAGCTCCATGCTTGTTGCATCTACCCGTCCATGACTCTGATGCCAATGGATTTGCTCTTGCATCAGTACATTGACATACATTACTTCCAACCATTTCAGGTACTATGCAGCAGACACATCAACAAAGCAGCCATGGGGGCCACTCTTCATCACCCTCCATGGGAGGTTCAAGCGGCGATGTCAGTCAGCGGGTTGAACCCCTGCGGATACTTGGCAGGCAGATAGCCGGCGCGGGTGAGCTCCTCCTCAGGGATGATGGGGGAGGGCTTGTTGCCCCAAGGTGCAGGCAGGTCGCTGATCTTGGGGATGGTGCCCTGCGGGGGGAGCGCAGGGATCACCTCAACATGGTGTTGGGAGTTAAAGGCTAGGGTATGGGCGCCCAGGTGGGGCATGCTAAACTTTCACAAGGCAGGCAAGCGGTGGCCAGGCAGATGGCCAAACAGGCAGGTGGCAGCCCTTGCCTTGGCCCGTGCATCCGCCACCGCCGTGTCGGGGTCCTTCTGCTCTGCAGACGCCGCTGCTTTTTGAATGGCGACGCCAGGGGGCGGTGGCACGGGAGGTAGAAGCCGTGCTGCAGGGCACCAAACATTGTAATCCATCAATCCTCAGCACGCGTGACTGCGGTTTCAACATGCGGAAGCAGAGATTGGCGACGTGCCTGTGACCGCCCAGTGGGGGAAGCGCTGGATCCATGCCAGCAGCGAGTATTGCTCTAGCTTCAGCTTTGTCTCGTCCACCGTGGGGTCCTTCACGTATTGCCGTCCAATCTTGCGGTCGTTGGGCCCAAACAACAGCAGCAGGTCGTCGGCAGTGAGGGCGCCGCCCGCTGCCGCCGCCACCTTGTGCTTCAGCTGCAGCACCGTGTCGCTGGGCTCGACGTCCACCTCCAGCACCTGCAGCGTGCTGTCGTCGTGGGCCACGTTGTGGAGCCCACGCGCACCGCCAGCTTCATGGGTGATGCCGCCGCGGATGGCCGTTGACTGGCTGTGGGGCTGGAAGGGCGGCAGGGAGTGACCAGATGCTGCTGCCAAGAGCAAGGGAAGACGCACGAAACTCGACTTGGCTCTCGGTCTCCCCGGCAGGACAGCTGTCCTGCCAAGAGTCTTTCTGCGTCCGCAGGCGCCACTGCGCTTCACACGCAGCTGCGCAGTGGCTGGCGAGCCGTAGGGGCGCCTGCAGGCTGGTGCTGCATCGCCTGGCTTGGGCGGAGTAAGTCATGGAGTCCCGAGTGTAAACCCTGCTCCGTAAGTCCGCCTGAGGTGAGCTGCCGACCGGCTAGGCAGCGAGGGAGAGGGAGCAGAACGGCAACTGTCGCAACTGCTGCCGCCGCTGCACCCGCTTGCCGCCACGCCTGAAATGGCACGCGGTGGTCCTATGGTTTGCTCAGCCCGCGCAACATTCTGTCTTGCAGTCGCCCTGTTAGCCATGAGAACAGGAGTGGCAGTGGATCTCGCCAGCGGCACCGCCGCTGGAGCGGCGCAGCTGCTTGTGGGTGCGTGTACTGCCCGTGTGTGTGTGTGTGCGTGCTACAGGGTATGAGGCACATTGATGTGCTGGGGCCGAACCACTGCCCGATACCGCATGCTGGCTTTAGCAGGATAGTAAGCAATCATACCTGACGTCCACTGCGCTTAACCCTGTCTACTTTTCTTTGTCTACCTCTTTAATATACCCGCAGGCCATCCCTTTGACACAATCAAAGTTAATATGCAAGTTGGCAGCGCCGACACCACAGCCATGGGGGCAGCTCGCAGAATTGTGGGCACCCATGGCCCGCTGGGCATGTATCGCGGATTGGCCGCGCCGCTTGCCACCGTGGCCGCCTTCAACGCGGTGCTGTTCAGTTCCTGGGGCGCGACGGAGCGCATGCTGTCACCAGACGGTGGGTGTGCGGGGGTGCGCGATGGATGTTGCTGGCAACAAGCCTCAAGCTGCTGCAGCTGTGCATTGCTCAGGTGCCTTGCCCTTCTCCCCGTGCCTTCAGGCTGCCCGCTGACGGTGGGCCAGGCAATGCTGGCCGGTGGACTGGCAGGGGTGCCGGTTTCTTTGCTGGCCACACCAACCGAGCTGCTCAAGTGCAGGTGGGGGACAGTGCAGGCGGTCGCCACGTGCTGGCCACACCCGTCGCAACCACACCATTCATCTGTCCCTATGCAGGCTGCAGGCGCAAGGAGGCGCGCGGCCGCCACCGGGCATGGTGTACAGCCTGGCCGACATTCGTGCGGGACGGGCGCTGTTCAACGGGCCTCTGGATGTGCTGCGCCACGTGGTGCGTCATGAGGGCGGCTGGCTGGGGGCATACCGTGGGCTTGGCGCAACCCTTCTTCGAGAAGTTCCCGGCAATGCAGCGTACTTTGGTGTGTATGAGGGCTGCAAGTACGGGCTGGCGCGGTGGCAGTGCATCCCCACTTCGGAGCTGGGACCTGCCTCCCTGATGACTGCGGGCGGAGTTGGTGGGGCAGCGTTTTGGATTGTCACATACCGTGAGTCGTGTGCAAACCATGTGTGATGCTGTTTAAGCTTTTCAGCCTGCAGGCAGCCCGGCAGTCCGGTTCCTGCCTGCAGCCACTCTACAAACACCCTGTGGCATGTTTGCTGCAGCTTTTGACGTTGTGAAATCGAGACTCCAGACCCAGAACATTCATGCTCTGGACCGCTACCATGGCACCTGGGACTGCATGACACGGCTGTACTCGGCCCAGGGCTGGCAGGCGCTGTGGCGCGGCTTTGGGCCTTGCATGGCACGTTCAGTCCCCGCCAATGCGGTGGCATTCCTGGCGTTTGAGCAGGTGCGCGCTGCCCTCAGCCATTGAAATTGCACGACTCTGCACCCTTGTTCCTTCCGCTGGTTTGTGTCACAGCTAGCTTGCTGGCTACCTCCCATTATTCTTTGTTGTGCCCGCCCTGTGCGCCCATTAGGCATATCATGTGGAACTGCGATAGATAGCACAACCTTTGTTAATGCCCTGTTGAACTTGTTTGTGCTGTTTGTTGATGTCTGCATTGCCTTGCAAATTCTTTCATCATTTCACACAGTATGCATTCCAGGGCTGTTGTCAGGAGGGTTTAGGGTGGAGACCATCACAATTGCATAATACCCAGGCAGGGCAACAAACAAAGCCATGGAGGCAGGTTCCCTGGGTAGCGCCCCCGCTCCCCGCCCGCCTTCAGACCAGGAATCTGCAGGTGCGCAATGTGGCAGGGTGCAAAAAGGAGCTGCACCATGCCAAGGCTACAGGCCCGCCATCTGCAGCATTTCCGCCACCTCCGCCCCAATGTCCCCCAGCTCCGGCTCGTTCTTCCTCAGTACCCCATCGATGGCCGCATCCAAGTCAACATCGTGGCTGCTGCACAGGTCCGCCAGTTCCTGCCGTAGCTGTGGCGCGCAATCTGCTGCGCCCAGCTCAGGCAGCCGATCCAGCGCCGCTGCCAGCAGCACTGCGGCCGGCACATCGTCAGCCTGGCAGATGTAGCTGCTCAGCACCTGCAGGTCTGCGCTGCTGGGCTGGGCGCCCAGGTCCACCACAGAGCCCAGCACCATGGCGGCAGCCTCGTTGGGGCCCGCCAGCCGCGAGGTGAAGTGCGGCGAGATGGACAGGATGTGGCGCGTCTCTGACTGCGCATCGTTTGCTGCCACCAGGTCGCCCTCGTCGTCAAACAGGTCATCGTCCTCGCGCTGGGCCGCACGTCGCGAGGTGGGTGCACCCTGCAGTGCAGGCATGCAGCAGCAGCATGACGGGAGGCACCTGCTGCTCCAAGTGTCCACCAGCTGAATTGTGGCCAACCTGACTCACCCTCATGTGCAAGGCAGCGCCACCCAGCTCACCTCCTCCTCCTCCATGTCCCACTCCAGCTGCGCATCCTCCCCCTCCTCTTCCATCACATCCTGCAGCTCCCGCTCGTCCTCATACCGCGACTCCTCAATGACGGCGCCATCGCCCCAGCTGCGCTCCGTCACAATGATCGCCACCTGCGGGGCAGCAGTTGCAAACAACCGCGGCAGTAGTGTGTGCACAAAGCAGAAAGAAATGGTTGCTGCAAGAAATAGGTGCAGCAAGAAATAGTTGCAGCAGTGCTGCTGCACCTTGCGGCTGCTGCTGCTACTGCTCTTCTGCTCTGCGCGCAGCCTGGCCCGCAGGGAGCTGGTGCGCGTGCCATCCCGCTGGCGCAGCTTCTGCGGCATGTTGCAGCAATGGCTAAGTGAAGATGGCAGTACACAGCGAGCAGGTCCCGTTGTGAGCGTTGTAGCAACGCATCATGCAACGCCTTGTCTTATGCCGCTAACCGCCAGACCCCCCTCAACCCCCC